GCCGTGTGTAATGCGTGCCCACATTTTTGGCCCACACTTCCAGGAAAAAATATCTGTTTAATTTTTTAATTAATTAATAATATTTATATACTTATTTTTTTGTATTATAAAGGAATTTTAGCATTTATTTTGTAACATATTATGGTATAAGAAATTTTATGTAACAAATAATTGCAAAATACAAGAACAGATGTGAAGTATTTCAGGCACTACCCATATATAATGCCCATCCTTATTTTTCCCTCAAAAATTTGGGCAAAATAAAGTGTGCATTATATACAGCAAAATACGGTAAGTGGCTGCTGTGTTTTCAGAATCACACAAGATGCCCTGGGAGGCAAGCTGATGGGGGGGCAGGGAGGCCGGGAACCTGTTTCTGAGGTGCGATGAGAGCTTGGTATGGAAGGCATTCTGTAAGTCCCAAGCAGAATGAACAGTTTATTGATTGATTTAGTAAATACTGTAAGCATAAAGACTGGGGATGTCAAAAAATTAAATGAAAACTCTTTGGAAATGGGGTTGATTGTTACTATCCTGAATGTGGGTAGAGAGATGAAAATTAAGTCAGCCGGCGGGGGGAGAAAAGGAGGTTCCCCAGAGTGGCGGGCATTGCTGCACGCCTCCCAGCGTTTGTGTCCCTCTGTGACTCCGCCCCCGACTCCTGGGCCAGCCCGATGGGCCTAAGCCAGTCACCCTTATTCCTCATGCTCCACATCGGACTCCCCAGGGTCGCTCAGGGATGGGCAGTTCTTCCAGTCAGAGCAGACCTCAGGGATTCTTTTGCTGGTGGGGAGATGGAGACACTGCCTCTTCTGGGCGGGGTGGCTACCGCTGTAGAGCGTGGATCTGCTGCAGCCAGTTTACAGCCAGTCAAGACACAGCCAAGGGAGCAATGGTGGCCTAGGAAGCATACATCAAAGGCATGGAGCAGGACCTGGGTCATATTGCACCTGAGGCCCCAGCTCTGAGATTTTAGTGAAATGAGCCAATTGATTCCAATTATCCTTTAAGCCGATTTAAATTGGGTTTTCTATCAAAATAGCTCCAACTGATGTAGTGGCTTGTGTGCCAAAAAGTCCAAGGTGAAAGCTTCAGCCATGGCTGGTTCAAAGTGTTCCATGGCAGCAGAAATCTGTCTTTTCTCTCATCTCTGCCCCTCATTGTGTTGTCTTCATTCTCAGCCTGGCTCCTAGTGTGGAGCTGTGCTAGGCTTAAATTACACTAGCTCAGTAACCTGATGGGAAGACAAGTGTCCCTTTTTCAATAGTTTCTACAGAAGTCGTGGTTTTAGATTCACTGGCCTGTCTCAAGTCATGTGACCATTCTTGAGCCAATCACCATGACTGGGGAGAGATGTTCTGATTGGCTCAGCCTCGGTTATACACCAACTCCTGGGGCTAGAGTGGAAGAGGAATCTCTTCTCTCAGCCTATTCAAATTCTTCCCAGGAGTTTGCTTTTAAATCAGACTGGCCTGGGTTTTCCAGCATTGCCAGTTTTTAGCTTTGTGATCATGAACCTCATCTGTAAATTAAGGACAGTGATGGTCTCAAACTCAGAGTTGTGATGAAGAGGAAACGCGATAACCTATGCAAAGCATTTGCACAGCTGCTCACTACTTTGTTGTTATTGCTCGTGTTACTACCGTTTCCTAGCTCCAGTGCCTCCACTCCCAGAGAGTCTTCTCTGATTACTCTCTCCCCACAAACTAGAAGCAAATTTCCTTCTTGAGCTCTCACAGCCCTTCCTCTTAAGATTCCCTGTGTAACTTCAGAGTTTCAGTTCCTGCTCGTGTTCATGACTCCTCTGCCGTTTTAGACTTCCAGCACCTACAGGGGCCAGAACAGCTTCGTCTCTGTATGTTATAAGAATCACTACTAACACCCATTGAGGGCTCTACAGTTTCCAAAGTATTTCTCCTCTGCTTCTTCATTCTGAACTGAAGTGTAATCCTACAAGGTGGGAGAGATTCTAAGGTGGAGAAACTAAGGCCTGGAAGGAGCAGTGATATGGCCAAGGTCAAGTAACAGATCAGTGGACAAGAAGTTAGGTGTTTTCGGATTTCTAGCACAGGGCTCTTTCTGCTGGATATGGTTTTGAATCTAGGGTTCACCCCCAGGACCCCCTTCTGCACCTTTACTCGGTGATTCTTTTCACTCAGCACATCCTCTCTCCCTGCCCACAATTCTTCCCCCCTTGAAGCCCTCCTTCCCCAACTCCAGAGATATCCCTGGCTTGCACAGCCCTTTCTTTCTGAGTCTGAGACACAGCACTCGAGCCAGCCCCGATCACTCTGCCTCATTATGCATCTGGGACCAACCTCCAGATCCTAGCAAGGGCAGCTGAGCGTCTGCTGTAGCTCTGTGTCCTGGGCTTGGACAGTGTCTGGCTTACCCGGCGCCCTCCGCCACAAGACTGCGTGCATGCTGTGGACCGGCAGGACCGGGGTGTGAACCCCAGCATGGCAATGTGCTGCCTCTGATTTCTCACTGGTAAAATGCGAGTAGAGCTGCTGACCTTGAGGCTCCTCAGGAGGCTGCGTTGAGAAAGGGAAGTGAGAGAGGGTGATATGTTTCAAAGGGGGCGCAGGAAGGAGAAATGATTTCGAGGAATGAAAAAATGATCTCTCTGATCTTGCACATGGATGATGGTCTTCCAGCCTCTGGAGACCCTTCCCCACTCCCCAGCCCAGCTCAATCTCATGCCCTCCAACTCGCTTCCTGGGGTGTAGTTGGCTCATCATCTTTTTATCTGCATCCAGTTCTCTTTCCAAAGCTTGCATTTTATCTCTGTGACTAGAAGACTTGCTAGCTAAGTGGGGGAAGGAATGGGTTTTACGTGCAGGAAAATCAGCCTCGGTGACCGAGAGCCGGCATCTCCCCAAGCCTCAATTTCTTGGTCTATAAAATGTGGGCAAAAAGAATGCTCACCTTGCCCTTGCTGGTGTGGCTCAGTTAGGCAAGGCAAAGGGTTGCCAGTTCGATTCCCCATCAGGGTACATGCCTGGGTAGCTCTTTGGTGCCTGGTGGGGGCGCATGAGAGGCAGCCAACTGATCCATGTTTCTCGCATCAATGTTTCTCTCCCTCTCTTTGTCTCTCCCTTCCCCTCTCTCTAAAAATGTGTAAATAAAATCTTAAAAAAAAAAAAAAAGAATGTTCCCCTTCTAGCCAGCACTGTTCAGTGTGTGGCAGCATCTAGCTATTTAAATTTATTAATTAAAGTTAAATAAGGTCTTAAAAATTCAGATCCTTGGTCACACTAACCATATTTCAGTTCCCACAGGTGGATAGCGTTTCTAGAGAACATTCCCATCATTGCACATGGGGTCAGGCAGTGCTGGTTTAGCCAATCTATGTAAAGCACTCAAGCCTGAACCAGGCACCCGGTATGTGATGTCGTAATTCACCGGGAGCTGCAGACCTTCTGAGCCTGGGGGCCATGACTTCAGGTAAAGCTCTTCTCTCCCGGAAGGGCCAGGAAGGACCAGCAAAGAGCTGTGGTTTACAAGGAGTGTTGGGCTGGCTGAGGACCTTCTCTGGGACCAGGAGCTTGGGTTCCCGTCGCAAGGCAGGCAACTTAAGACTTAGTTCACGCTCCTAGGGGAGAAGGGACGCTGAGCAGTGGGAGGGACAGGGAGCCCTGGGAGGGCAGCAAGCTTTTGGAGTTTCTAGCATTCAGAACCAGCGTGGGACTTTTCAAAGAGAAAATGGCTGTGTGGGTTTGCAAATGTGTTAGTTTCTCTCCCTCTTCTCCCTCTCCTTCTGCTTATATCTTTTGCCAGAGAAGGGAAGTCTAGTCTAGATCCAGCTTCAGAGAACAGAAGGGATGCCTTGGTCCATCTGGCTCCTTCACAGGGAGGAGGAATCTGAGGCTCAGAGAAGTGCAGAGACTTGCCTAAGTTCCCTTAGCGAGTGAGGGCAGAGTGAAAGTTCTGGACACAGCTTCCCTGACACCAGAGTTTGGCATAGTGTTGATGTGACCTGGGCAGCAGGGATGGTGCTGTCTGCCAACCTAGCAAGCCCTGATCCATTCCCCAGACCCTGCTGCGAGGAGTCTCTGCAGTGCCCGCCCCAGCGGAACAGGCTCTGCAGCTGTGAGGTCCTGAGAATCTCTTCTTCTCCAGCTTTGCCTTTGTTTCCTTCTGTGCCAAGCACCACCCTGGGCACCTAGTAGGTGTCTTGTGGGTGCTGGTGAAACCTAAGCAAAGAGGCAGTTCCTGTTGCTACTTTGAGACTGTGAGGCCGTGTGGAGGGGCAAGGCTGCATCGGGGGTGTCTAGTAACCCCTCCGGCCGGGGCTATGGTGAGCCAAGAGGCCCCACCTTTTTAGCATCACCACCCCTTTGGCAGACTAGTAAAGACCATGTATCCCTTCTCAGAATAATTTTGTGTGTTTCATTAAAGTATAACACACGTATATTAAAATGCACACATCTAAAGTGTACATCAGTGAAGTTTCCTAAAGTGAACACTTTTGGTCCCACCATTCAGCTCAACAAACCAAGCGTGGCCAGCGTCCCAGGCATCCCCCTCACCCAGCCCAGGTGCCTCCTGCCAAGAGGCCTCCGGTCCCCGCGATGCTCTCAAGTGCGTATTGCAAGGGCGAGAACGCGAGTTTTAGCTTAGGACGCGGCTGTCTCTGTGCATGTGGGAGGGTGGCGAGGAGTTGTGGGATGTGTATAGGGTGGAGGGGATATGTGGGGGACCTGCGTGAAGGTTGCCGAGTGCATGGTTTTGGGATATGGATTTGCCAGGTATGTGTGTCATTTGGGATAGTCGGGACGCGTGTGTCGGGGTTGGGGGGTTGGTTAGGGGATTGGTTAGCGCATTCCGCTCTAGGTTCCAACTGTGGGACGGTCTACGTAGGGTGGTTGGAAGGTGGGATGGAGGATGCTGGGGACGGGGCGTGGGCGGTGCTACCGGACTGGGCGGCAGGCGCGGGGCGGGGCCTGAGCTGCACGAGGGGCGGGGCCGGCGGGCGCGCGCACGCAGCCGGCGCGCCCCCTCCCGGCCGCCATGTTGGCTGGTGTGTGGGTGTCAAACGGAGCTAGACGCGGTGGTGGTGGCGCCGGCGGCGGCTGTGGCGGCTCCCCGGCTCCGGTCGCTCCCGCCTCCCCAACGCTACTGGCGGCCGTAGCCGCGCACCCGGGCCGGCCCGAAGAAGCGAAGGTGAGCTGGGTTCGGGGACCCACCCTCTCCCCCAGGAGCGGACGCCCTCAGAACACAGACTCCCCGGGAGTCAGCCCCACAGACGCGCACCCCTGCAGCCCCCGCTGGGTCTGCCCCTCTGCGGGACCCCCTTCTTTCCAACCAGACCCCGCCCCACAGACTCGAGCACGGCCCCCTCCCAATCTGGATCCCTCTTTCCACGGCAAGGACCCTCTCCCGCCCCCGACACACACACGGACACATACACCTTTCCTATCTGAGAGCTCTTCATTTTCCCTCCCGGGAGTGTGGCGCTCCCGGGATCCTGCCCCAGCTCCGGGAGCCCTTCCTGGCCCTCACCCTCTACCTCTCAGCTCGGAATAACCCCGCCCGTTCTCTCCAGAGCACTTTCCACCCCTCCCGGCGCGGGCGCCCCTGTTCTCCGAAGCCGAAGCTGCTTTCCCTCTCGCCCCCGTGCAGAGCCCGGACCCCATCCCTCCAGGAATCCGGGGAGGGGTCTTCTGTGTCCAGGATCCCGGCCCGACGCTGCTCTCCTTCGGGCTGGAGCGGGGCCCCCTTCCCCTCCCGAGGGACCAGCCTCCCTCCCCACCCCCACAGCACAGCGGGGACGGGGGCGGCAGAGCCGGGCTCCAGCTGCCTTTTGTTCCGCGTGGGATGGCAGAGACCCCTCCCGGCGGTCCTGATGGGCCAATCGGGGTGGGTGAATGGGTGCGTGGGGGCCCGACTCTTCAGTCAGTCTGCGTGGAAAGAGACCCTTCCTTTCTTTCCCAGTGGGGCGGCTCCCCGGGAGCCGAGCGCGTCGGGAGAGGCTGGTCCTTCCTAAAGGAGCCCTTGCCAACAGGTTTTTGTTTGCGCCCTGGAGTTGGCCAAGTGGCTTTGCGGAAGGGGCTATTTGCTCTCCCCAGAAACCCCAGCAGGGGCCTGCGAAAGGCCATTCCTCAGCCCAGGGGCTCAGCGTGGGGCCCCTTCACAGTTTTGCTGCCCTGGGAATGCATCTGGTCTGTGCTTGAAGACAGGATGAGGCTTAACCGTCTTCGGAGTTGAGATGGGGAAAACTGAGACCCAGAGATGCAGTGATTTGCTCAAGGTCACACATCGATTCCATGTCAGTGCCAGAACTACAGGCTCCCTCCTCCAGGGCTCTCTTCATGGCATTAGAGTTTTTTTGTGTTTTCTTTTTCTTTCTTTCTTTCTTTTTTAAGAAGGAGATGTTCAGGATTATATCCCTCCACTTTTATTTTTACCATTCACACAAGAAAATGGTCAGGAAAAAAATGAGAAGTAAGTTAATTTCTATCTCCAGAATATGCCCTGTAAAGAAGGAATTGGAATAGGAGGTTAAAGTGCTTTTAAAGAGTGAGTTTTAATATCCATGCCCTCCTCTCCCCCTCCTGCCCTCCAATTATATGTACATCATGTAGCTCTGGATACCAGACCATAGGTGCTGACAAAACCATACACCGAGTCTTGCACAGCAGTGATTGAGTTTGTGCTAAATAAGTTTCATTTGTATTTAAACATCTAAAGGGACTACAGTTTCAGAAATCCACTTGTTCCAGCGTTTGTGTTCTGAGCAACTGATTGTGTTGGAGAAACCACTGAGATCTTCTCATCTCTTATTTACCTATATTTTTATTTTTACATTTAAAAAAATTACTTGTTTCTTCAGTTTTAATATTGGGGTAGTCGTCCTTACCAGTCTCACTGGGCTATTCTTTTGTAAGCATTGAATGGGATAGTGGCTATTAAAGAGTTTGGTAAAGTGCGAATTGTTGTAAGGCATGACTCCAGACTGCGCCCTTCAAGCCCCTGGACCGGGAGTGAGTCTGGATCATCCTGCGGGACATACGGATTTCTTCTGGGCTTGTACAAGCTGCCTGCCTCCCTGCACCCTGAGCTTGGTGGGTAAGGGAGTTCTGTGGAGAACTCTCCCAGCAAGGCGTATTGTGCCAGGCACCTGTGTGAGGTGTGAAGAAATGTAAAACTTTCAAGCTGTGAAACCTACCTAGCTAGCATGGTGTATGCAGCCTTGAAAAATGACCCATCCTTTGTAGACATTCTCTGTAGAAATTCAGTTGCCTCTTTATGGATTCCATATTGGAATAGGTATGGGTTTCCTGAGAGTTGGGATTCTGACCAGTCCTGCAGAAGCAGTTCAAGAGCGTTTGCGGCTCTGCTTCGTTTTATGGCTTGGCTTTTCCTGAACTTAAAGGGTACGTGGTGGCAGCTTCTGCTGCTGCTTCTGCCCCTCCTCCCTTACTCCCTCATTTCTTCTTCTCCATTTCATCAGGAGGAGTGGCAGCTTTCAGTTCTTTGCGGACTAAAGTGCTAAGAGATTTTCATGGGTGGGATTGTCATTGTTACATTCTTGGGAAGCACATTGAAGTTTGCAAAGCTTTTTGGCAGTTGTTCTCATTGTCCCCCAGAACGGTCCTGTTGGATCGGTGGGGTGTGGATGACCGCGGCAGTTGTCCTTTTATGGCATGAGTACCTGGTGGCTCTGAGCCTTGAAGAAATCAAAGGGCTTGGATTTGGGGGATTTGAGGTTAGAGAGTCTATAAAGAATTATCTCGTCTTATTCTCAGTTTTCTGCTGGACTTTCAACTCCTGTCTTCAGTTTAAACAAACTTCTGCCAAGCCTTTGCCAGCCGGCTCCACAGTGTTTGGGCCTCCCAAGTCTTCGCTCTCAGACCTCACCACGCCGAGCAGTCTGATGGAGCACTTACCACGTCGTCTGTGTATCTGGGGCCCTTGTGATACTGTGATTTTTTGAGATCTGTGATTGTTCCGTCTTTCTTTGCTTCTTCAGCACACAGCTCTGTCTCTGACACATGCATGGCAGGTCCTCAGCAAAGGTCTGGGGTATGAGTAAGTCGTCCTGGGGGCAGGGGAGCGACCTTTCGTTGATCTTACTATGGGCTCCACTGTTCTGTGTTCTTGCAGAAACCACTGCTGTTTGTCCAGTAGTCTCATGTCTGCAGATGAGGAAACTGAGGCCCAGAGGCTTAGGCCATATGCCCAAGGTCACTCACCCAGTAAGTAGTGGAGCTGCAATTTGAACAGGTCTGCTGGATTCCAAAATATTATTATACCTGTTACCTCATTTGAAAAACCCAGTCTCACAGGAACAAAGAGACTTGCTTAAAGCCCTACTGCAAATTGACAATAGACTGACACTGCGAAATGATGTGATTCAGATTGGTGAGGGTGAGCACTGGCCGATGTGGCTCAGTTGGTTAAGTGTCGGGCCTGTGAACCAAACGGTCGTGGGTTCCATTCCCAGTCAGGGCACATGCTTGGGTTGTGGGTTCTGTCCCCCATCTGGCCACATGCAAGGGGCACCCAGTGTATGTTTCTCTCTCACACTGATGTTTCTCTTCCTCTCTTTCTCCCTCCCTTCCTCTCTAAAAAATAAAGAAATAGATATTTAAAAAAAGGAAAAGAAATTTGCATTCCATACCCCAAATAAATACTTACTTAAAAAAAAGGATGGCGAGGGTGGGAGAAAGCACACTGTTAAAGTGACTGTTTACATCCATCTGTTGAGTTTTTGAAAATTGACAAGCTTTCTGATAAGTTAGTCAGTGGAATTTTCTGTGGTCTTAATTAGCTTGTTCAACGTGTCTAAAAATAGAAACTTAGAAGACAAAAACAGTGAAATAAATGTATAGGTGGTTAAGTGAGTGTATACAGTGGCATCTACCTATGGACTTGTTTGACCTTACCTAAGGCAGTTAAATTTTTGATATCTTGAAATGCAAAGTTGTTAGAGCAGCCTTTTATTTTTCACATAAAGTTTTATTTTGTTCTTACATCAACATATAGGTCCAGAGGAGAGGTTAGATGACTACCCCCAACCCCGCATCAGCAATATCTGTTGAGTATTTATGGTGTACCAAGCACAATAGAACATATAAGAAAACATTGTCCCTGCTCTGGGGGAGCTTACATTCTAAAAGAAAAAAAAATGCACCCCTTTTAAAATGGTATTTCTGTTTGGTGCTTTTGCAGGGCACTGAGGAAGTAATCTGTAGGGTGAGCTTTGCATACAACTTAGCCCCATTACTTAAAGAAGAGAGGAAGAGGAGGATTTAAAGGCAGACAGACAGTGACACACCACTCAGGATAGGCAGCGCTTACAAACGGACAGACCAGAGTCGCATCAGCTAATGAGAGATTTGCAGCAGTAAATACGGTGAGGGAGAGAGTTTGTCGGATGCAAGCAAAGGAAGCAGGGTTTCCTTAGACATTCAGTGGAGCCACAAAGATCATGTGGCTTTTTTTTCCAAGTACATGGCTACCAAGTAGGAATGGTTGGTGACAAGACAGAAGGCTAAAAAAGGTAATCTTGTACACCTGACAAATAGGATAAAGGCTCAAAGCTGAAGACAGGCTATAAGAGTATGAAGAAATTCTTCAAAATAAGAATTATTTGGAAACAAAACTTAACAGTTAATGCTACCCCATGTCGTGATGGGCCAAGAACATTGTGGTTTCTGAAATTAGTAAGTATCATAACTAAAACTTTAAATGGAACACATTACTTTTTCCCAGTCAATTCCCCCACCTCTGAAAAACAAAAAACAACCCAGCACCTTTCTTTTGGGAGGGAGCGGGGGGAGTATAGGATGTGCTTGGAAGCAATAGTGATTATATTAGTAGTATTTTGTTTTGATAAACTTTGTATTTAAACTTGGTAAAAGCCCATTAGCTGCCAAGGGGAAATAAAGAATAAATTTCAAAAATGTACAATTTCCATTAGAGAAGTTTCAGAACCAAAAGACTGATTTACATGAAAAGCTGTAGAGACGTAGTTGAAAAATTCATTCGTAAAACTTATTCCACTTACATGAACTTACACGTGTGTTCTTAACCATTATCCTTAGATTGTTCATGAAAATTTCATAAGACATTAAACAAAGCTAGCCATCTCAGTTATTTCCCTGTTAACTTTTTTTAAGGTTTTATTTATTTATTTTTAGAGAGGAGAAAAGAGGGAG